CTCCCGCTCTGGTCCGGGTGCGTTCGTGGGGATCACATTCGTATCGTTTTGCACGCGTCACTCAGCTGGTACAATTTCCGTCATCATTTACGCGGCGGCTAGATTTTGCACAAGCTTATCGCATAACTTGTCCTAATTGTACAATCCTTCAGTCGACGCGTGGAAATGACACTAAACGAACCGTTCATACCTACGTTCATTGAAAAAGTTCTCACATCATATGTTTTATTTATTGATAATAATCAAGGTTTAGAGGTGATATCATTGCAGTGGAGCACGAGACTTCACCGCTAAATGACCTTGATAAGGTTTCCAGGGGGTTAGTGGAGAATATGCTACGTTTCAACCCTGCAAATTTAAGGGTTTTGTGCAAACACCATTAAAGTTTTTCTTGACTAGCGGTTCGGACCACAAATTCTGCAGTGTGCTGTGTATGGGAATGAACTCGGCGAACTTGTGCAAAATCCACATAGCTGTTTGTAGCCGGCTGAACCAGCGTCGCAGAAGGCAAACTACGAGAAACGTCTTTGTGATAAACTGGTAGCGTATAACTGGACTTCGATTAAAACAAATCAGTTGCTTCAGAAAGCGCTCGAATTGTGTGATTCGAAATAATGTACATTTCAATTGCTACCAACTGACAACGAGTGCCGGACGGAAGTTACATGCTGTCCTTAGTGAGGTCATTACTTGGACATATAGAGATAGGGGAAAACATTATGGATGACACGCACGTAGCGGTTTTTCTATCATGTATTTCATGTAATGCCACAAGGCACACCACTGAACCTACATCCACCCTACAGCAGTCTCTCAAAAAGCTAGGATTAAAGATGTGCATGTCTGACGCAAACATTACCTTATCTGGGAAATGTGCTGAATTAGGCAGCTGCCATGGGTGATGCTACCTATACGCCTGTTCTCCACTGAGTCGGTTTGTAATGAGTTTATTTACCAGTTAGCTTAACACTCTAGATGGTACTTCCTCTTTGGTATTGTCAAGTGGAGTTTTGCTAGTGCAAATGCCACCGAGGTGTCGATTTTTCCAATCTGAAATCATCGGAGGCTGCTAGCCCTTGAGTCAGAGCTTCTGCGCACAGTCTTCATAACAATGTTTGATGGGGAATAGGGTCTCTTGACAAAAAAATTGTGGTGCAGCTAGCCTGTACTGCGCCTTTGGTACAGAATATTCACCCAGATGCATCTGAGTTATTAGTCGGCATCCACTTAGCGGGCTTTGAAAAATTACAATTTGCTCACGGGTTATTTTACGCATAGCTGTGCGGAATGGATTAGCCGAATGACCTACGTTGCATTGATACATATTTAGAGAGTCCTTTGGGACTGTGAAACAATGGCAATGCATTGATGCCCACCTGTTAGGCTTATTTATTGCAGTTGATTTCGTAAGTAGTGCAGGGCAATATTTTGCATGGATGTTAACCAATTGCTTTCTTGTCTTGGTAAAGATGAACGTTGACTACAGTACACCAAAAGAATAACAAATAAATATTTTTTCACAATTTGAATCCAAGTCCGCAAGTGTTGATTTGGGGGAAAAGCATTTGTGTTCAAAATTAAGGACTGCGATAACCCAGCGCTGTACCAACAGTGCTGGAACTCACACAATTTGATAAATGAAGCACGGAGGAAGTAGGGACGTGACGAAATTATTCTGAAGCTGGGATATACATTACTCTTTTTTACCTGCAGTTCGCGGAAAAGAAATATGTGTTCCAGAAAACCCACAAATACAGTGGGTACCGAGGCATGTACATCAAGTTGATTCATTGTAAACATTGCTGATAATTCAGGGTGAGGCCGCAGATTACTTACGTAAAACCGCAACAGTGACATGTATATTCCTATGCTATCCTGATTGTGTCACTTAATCTATGAGTTCTAGTATATAAATCTTTCGGATGGCACCAAATTAATGTGAATAGAATTCGCAGCATTGGCAGTGAACTAGATATTTTATGAGCCACACTGACCCCATAATATTTGGCAGTGTTCCAGGAAGTGGTGGGTTTCCACCTGGCAAGAGTTCTCCTTCTAAAATGTCACGAATGATGGCTTAACAACACTGCAATGTGGCGGATGTGACTCAACCAAATAAAATCACCAGCTTTTGCACAACACTGACAAAGCTTCCCACACAAAATATCATACTTTCTGATGCGTACGCTCTCATACATTCGTACATATCCTCGTTAAACTTATTTGAACCCTCATTATCAACATAGTATGAACTATGTTGCTACTCACCAGTACACTATACATTTTTACGTTTCTACTCGTAATATATCCTGAGTTTTGCGAAACACTGTTGCTTGTGCAATTTTGATCATTCCTGATGTGGAGTGTCCCGAAACATTCTAGAATACAACATTTATTTATTTATTTATTTATTTGAGTATAACCTCTGATCACTAATGCCGCAGATCCCTAAGTCACTAAGGAGGGGCAGCCTGCTTTAGTCAATCAGGTCACGCTCTCTTGCTAATTAATGACTTCATTCAACAAGGAGCGGCGAATCTGAACAATACAAATGGACGCAGACGGTCAGGATTATTGCAACGAAGTTTTACCGAATAATATAAGCGGTCAAATGCTGCTGTAATGGGTTGATTCATGTACTTCCCCCGGAATGTCACAACTATACACACTCAGCAGTAAGGAACTTGTGTTAAATATGCCTATGCAATCGCTGTCTGAAAAGCAAAGTTATCTTGGTTTCCGCAAACTACACTGCGTACGCCTGTAAGACTCATTGCTATAATAACACATTGCAGGGCCCCCCACATATAATACAAGGTATCTTTTTCTCTCCACGGATGATCTCGGTACTTATAAATCCCACGGGTTTCTGTTTGGCGGCCAGTGAGTCAGAGATGGGAGATAACCGAATTCATTCTTATTCTAACGCTACAGCTGAGTATTGATGGGGCCCATTTGTCTTTACTAGCAAATGAAGAGCTGACAATTTAGTCACGGTCTGTGTTTAGGGATCCTAACTAGTTAGTGTACCCTTCACTATAAAACAACGAAGTAGGAAAGACGAGTATCTGGAAAATTTGAAGACTGTCTTCACTTACGTACCATTTCCATAATGCATATCAGTTAGTCCAAGAGGTGCTGGAAGATTGGAACTAGTAATGACGTAAGTTGCGCACGTTACTCAAATCCACCGTTTGTGACGGTGTTCTGATGCCAAATGCGCAGCTTTCAACAGTAACCCGGCGAATGAGCGCGGAGAGCTGTGGTTACCCTTAACTAAAGGTTAACAAAAGCAGGATTTTAGCACTGATAGCGTAGTTCTCACCGGTTTTATATTACCAGAGTAAAATACTAAAATGAACTCCTGCGCGTGACTTCCGGTTGCCTTCCAGTCAGCTCCCAAGAGTTACCCAGGCGACTTCGCTGCGTAGACGCGACTGTACCTTGTGTGCTTGACCAAAGACCGTTGCACTCATACACTGACTATAAATCGGATTAAATAATCCGCTATGATTAATCTCACACATTTCATTGACTAAATGCGTCCGTGGGGATCCTATAAACTACGGGCAGAGAAACTGATTGGTTGTGAGTCTTCTCTACATTCGTCGGTCAGGATCAAGCATCCGTGGCATACTAAATAAAAGCAATTTTACATTGGAAACCATATGGTTTTAGATGATAAAAATATTCACGGCTTGAGGAGTGCCTGCACCTGTGGTCCAATTGAATTGGGTCGGGTTTATCTAGTCCACCACATCTGTTTAGGTGCGTTAACTCCCTGTAACTGTTTTGATGATTAGTAAGACTTAGTTGGCTTTTACATTCAAGTTAAAAAGTCACAGACAGTAGCAGGGAATAACTGATGGCGTGGTCGTATCAATCCGGTGTACTTGTCACTGGCCTCTTTGTCCTACTACTACTACTACTACTAGGCACAGAAACCACTTCTATCGACGGGAAACCCCTTCCAGTGGTTGGGAGGTTTACAATTACGTGGCCAATACCGCATCGCTTTCCAATGTCGCATTCATGATAATCTCCAGTGGTCGTTAAATGACCACTCTAGCAGCGGTATGACCTAAACAACTCCACTTAGTTACAGAGGCTGCAAAAGGACTAGGCTAGAATTAGCAAACCTGGGCCCATCGTTACCACCTATACAGATTAAATGGGTGTCTATACGAATACGATTGTTTCTCTTCGTGTGCGGGGTAACAGAATCACAAATTTCTCTGTGGACATCTGCGTAGTCTTAGCCGCGACATGATTGTTGCAATCACAAGTTCACTCAGTACACAGATCTAAAGCACATCAGAGCCCAGTCATTTCTATGCTTGTTTTGGAGTGGTCGATCGATCAGGATACTCAATTATTAATTCAATGGTAGGGTTTTGCATTACCGTCGGAAATGGAACTTGGGTACATTGCATAAGTGTAATCTATTAGCCATGCTTCACCTTGACTAGGGTGAAATGGAGGTGGCCCAGTACTAGTAAATCGAAGCTGTCATGGATTAGGCTCAATAATGCCTTAATTCATGGAAGCCAACTTCCATAACACTATCTAGCCAACTACCAGGCACTTCAGCATGCTATTTACAAGTAGAAGGTGCAAACATGAAGATGAAAATTGCAAAGTTTCCGTACTAAAGGCAGGAATATGATACGAATTTGAGTGAGAAGGGGCAAGTGGCAAACCAACCTTAACCGTTGGACCTCAAGGTATCACAGTGTGGATTAACCAAGTGAGGTATCCAGTGGACAACAGAAGATGGATTCATTGTCCAAAACGACATCATCCTAAACATTATGTTTCTACTGTCAGATTGAATGGCCAAACGTAGTGATAAGGAATTATTAATGTTCAGTAATAAATTGAAAAGCTCGTGAACCTCGGGCGCCTCCTCGTCAAGAATCTGCTGAATAGTTACTTTTAATAACAGATGTTGGTATAGCATAGCATTGCATATAGCATAATAGCACAAGTAAATAGCTCACCTGTTCACACATCGTAAGCAAGGTAGAAGTTTGCCTCACGTAAGCCTTTAATGCCGGGCGGCTGCTGTAATATCCAGTCCAGTATGAATTTGGGCCACTCGCATAGGGAAAGAAATCGCCCCTGCGGAGGTCAATTGCCCGCATCTGTTGAAAAGCGATATTCACGGCCTTGGTGTAGCATTGTGGAGTGGAATAAAGCAAATTCACGTCACTTCCTTGCGATTGTCGCCGATTAACATACCGTATCAACTTATCCGTGTTCTTAAAGTTCACGTTAGCATTTTCGTACGTAAAATCACATCCCATTGGCACCAAGATATGGTTGGTAGAAAATGCATTTCGAACTTTGTTAATATATTGCAGAAACTGTTCCACACGTTCGTCCACATTGTTGAGACGCAATTCTGAATCGTCCATAATCGGTTCATCATCACACTTGTCGTCAAAGCAAAACGTAGGCGGATAACAATAGGTGTCGTACAGCATACTAGTGAACAGACCATAAGCGGTACCATTCGGTTGCGTCCCAGTGTCCCACAACACTTCTAGACTTTTTGTTTCTCGGCGTGCGGACTTTTCTCTGTAATCCATACGCTGGAAGAACACAGCATCAAGGCCAGACTCACGAAATAATTCTGCGTGGTCCCTTGCATGTCCGAATGGATCGATCTGCCAAGATACAAGTGGATTACCGCATTCGCCGAACAACGTTCGCAAGGTAGCACGACCTCTGGTCATTTGATCGATTGCATCGCTGTAGAATACCGTCGCCTCATCAGACATGGACCATGCGCCCAGGGCGAATTGTAACTGACCAGAATTAACCAGATTCTTTACCAATTGTTTCACAGAATCCGGCTGAGACCGCCACCATCGGTCGAAGAAGGCAACTTCAACGTAAGTGAAGCGTCGGGCCGGATCAGCTGCTAGGGCATCAACTACGGAGTCCAGAATATATTGGACTCCAGCTCGTTGGATATGATTCATCGAACCATAGTAGTACTGATCGACTGTCTTCAGCCACCCAACATCGTCGTGAGTGTGGGGGATGAGGTGAACGTTGAGAAAACCCCGTTTGCCAAGATCGCAGGCATCATAACCACAGTTATGTGTGGGAAAAGATTGAGAAAGTGAAAAACAAAGGAAATAAATTAGGATTTCCTCGGACAATATTGCTAGCAACCGATGTAGCTCCATGTTCCTCCAATTATCATATTTGCACCGAGATAAAAGCCTGCAGGCTGGTTCTGTTTTGCGCAGCGCCAGTGGTCACGCATAAACGGACCAATCAATTTTAGGTGTGTCTCCGAGATTGTAACAAGGAGGTCAGTACACTCATAGCCTAGTTGGCGTTCTTATTGGATACATTTTACAGTGTTTAAGTACCCCTCACAGGCGATGTGTGTTGATCTTCTGGAAAAGCTGTGGTGTTTTAAGTTTGAATTTCTTCGTAGACAAGTCGACGATAGGTGAGCTAGCAAATTAAACGCATTGCGTATACTGTCCAAGAAGCCTCAGTTATCTGATCGACTGTAATCATGTTTAGCGAAACAGTGTGTTACTGCCTAAGTATGCATCAGAAAAATGAAAAAGCCGCAACGAATGCTTATATGGTGCCAAAAGAAATAAAAAGGAAAGGAGTTCCGGAGAATAGAAAGCGCAAGGTGAATAAGGGATTAGGACAACACTGAGTAAGGATAGCGATCACTTTGGGTAGTCAAAACGAGACATGGTGCAAAATATTCAAATTTCATTCCCCTAAAGTGCAATGTACTATCGCACGGAGCCACAATTCACAACATGTTGCATTGCTCCGCGACTGGCCTAAATTGCAATTCGTTTTGTCAGCCATGTTGTTTTGTTTGATGCAGTGACAGCCAACGGATAACAAACACTGATAATATTACTAGTATGATTGTCCATTTTTTGCAGGTTGCTGGCTTTTGTACGCGCCTAAAATATGCCCTCTGACTATTTCGCCAAAAGTGCAACTTTTGTGGAGATTATGGGTGTTAGTGTGTGGCTTTTGGTAAGGGCACCCACCCGCAGTTCCGTGTTCACACTTCAATAGGCAAACATTGGTCACATGTTTGTCTTTTGTGTCCCATTTTATTGATGGTTTGCACAGTTAAAAGGCGAAAATTGTCTCATGACTTCCGGGTATTTTTCGCTTTGTAATCTGATGACTTAATGGTCCGGCACATGTCCTGAGCTCATTTTGGCCAACAGATCTCACGTTTTATTCCCACGTGTACATCGGAATTCGTAAACAATGCCAGGGTGATATGGTGGGACAGATTTATCAGCAGTCCAATTATGTACACATATCCTTACCTGGAAATTTTGAGTTCCTAGCATTTTGACAACTTTCAAGATATTTCAAATGATCTGTTATGCAGTTCGACTGACATACACAAGAAGCAAAAGATGGCAGACACTTTCGGCAGACATGCGTGTGACTCAATGCTACACCATACCGAGTGGCTAAACAACTTTCAACGTAGTTGTAATGATACCACGTGTACGGTTGGGAGAATCGAAACTGACGCAACAGAATGTTTGTTTACGCAAATAGACAACCGTAGCGAATAGAACATTGAATGAATGAACGGGTATCCGGTGAAAGTAATAAGGAGGAAAGCAGTTGTACGTAGGTGTTTGAATAATACTTACTTAGCATTACAAGTGGCTCAGTGTTCCATTGCTGAAGTTGGCTTAGACATAAAGCTGAGCGGGAAAATATCATGGTCCGCATAACACACGTATCTCACAATGCAAATCCGTTCGCCTGTTTGGTGTACCATATTCAGCCGCATGTAACTACTCAGGTCTTGACGAATTTCGGGATAGTTAAAGTTAGAAGAACCGTGGAACGAGTGTGCATGTCTTTCAGTCCCACTGAACATATACTTTGGTACTAGAGCCCGTATGATGAAAAATTATTTATCATGGGTAGAAAAGCAAGCGCTTGAAAAGACCCATAGTATGGTCGGGGTGAAAGTTACGAACACAAAGGTATGTGAACCATCAGTTTAAGCATTTGGCAATTTAAATGCGCTGCTGCAAAACCTTAATGTAGCATGGGAATTGAATGTTTGCATACAAACTAATCTGGGGAGTAGATATAGTTGACGCATTTTGTGAGAGAGGAAATAAAAAAGCTCAATCTTATGACGTTTCATTGGACCGATGTGGTGCGCAAGTCCAATTTGTGTTCACCATAACGATATTCCACAGTGAAGTATAAGAAGTGAAGTTGAACACACTGGTCGCTGGTGTTAGATTGACGCCCGAAAACAGAGCGTTATATGGTGTAATGCGAATGAACGAGTTTATCATAGCGACATCTTTTGGATGCCGTACATGTGGGTTGCGAAAAAGCGTAACTTGGGTGGTTGTTCCAAAGTTAGCACACACGGCGAGAAAATAAATCCCGGCGGAATTCCATCCGGCTATACTGTGTGACTAATTCTAGCTGGCAATCTATCAGAGCAGTATTGTGGTTCAGTTTCACACGATAACAAAAAGCATGGTTGGGTTTCCTCAGGACCTCATATTTCATTACTAATTCTTTATCCCGACGTCCACATTGTCCACTGTGGCTCCCGAAGGTTTACAGCCTCGGTTGGTAAAGAAGATGACACAGACCCATTACATTCTTGGTTGCCATTAGTTGCGGAATATCAAGTGCGACAAGTTCGTGCTTGTGTCAGAGCTGCCAGGCTTGGAAGCCGTGTTCCGAATGCGACTTAATGTAGGCATTGAGGGTTTGGGAGAAGATGGAGGAGCTAACTCGCCTCAACGCCCTCCGCTAAAGGCTTGGGTGTTGGTTGGCTTCTTGGATGCTCTCTTGACCTTACGTGGACATCCAAGATGGTATTGTTCCATCACTGCTATGTTACATTCAGTAAACACACGCTGCAATACTTGATCTATCTACCTGTATGAGCATTGGGATTGAGGGCGCACACTCATCGCCTTATACTTGGTGCCATTTAAGCTAAACAGATTCTGTGTTTCCAATTCTTATACTCTGTACAGATTATCCTACAGTGCCACGTGGTCACCTGTTGTTCTGGTGGCCCAACATATCTTGAGGTCATCAGTGAAGAGTAAGCAAATGTAGGGGAGCAATCTCATGAGATCGTTTAACTAAATCAGGAATAGACTTGGACCAAGTACTGAGCCCTGTGACATATCGCACCGAAGATCGATAGGGTCAAAGATAGCGCTGCCAACGCTCACATTCAGATGTCGGTGATGTAGGAAATTGCCTATTCAGCCTTTGTACATCGTCTATACTAACCACAGAAACTCACGATAACCATCACTTAAGTGTTCAGCAGAAACACAATGATAGGTACTTTGTTATTTCAACAGAGTGAAGTAAAAAGCGCATTGTTAATTCTTGGAATTGGTCGTATTGGGCTGCTGGGAATGAAGGCACGCCTGTGCATTCTATTTCGTAGCATACACAAGCTGTTGACGGTGAAGCGATAATATTGCCGAATAGCCGATACCCGATAGGAAATAAGGAGTTAAAAGTTCTAGCTCTATTGCTTAACATACAATTATGGGAATAAGTTTGCTGATTGGATATGTTAAGACATTGTGAAAACTACTGCAGAGAACAAACAGTTACCCTAACTATATCCGCAACTGTATAAATGGCTGAAAAAGTACAGATGGGGAGCACTACTCAGGCTATTTCAGCATATGATAGGCTCGTTGCATCAACATCTTGGTTGATAACATTTATTTCCCTTGCTGAAACGAGTAATCCGTCCATATGTCATACTGGGTTTTTGAAAAGTATGACAAGATTAGTCTGTCGAACAGAGCCACCTGCTCTTCGGGGGAGGGAACGTTTGGTATTAAAAAATGTTAACATCATATTTCCAATTGGCTGAAAACTAGTAACCACCAAAGTGAACTTGTTAAGAGAATTTGCATGGCATTGTACCCAGAACATAAGCAAACAATACCATGACACATCTTTGAGTTATCCCAATATCGTAGAATAGATCAGTTCACCTAATGCAGTGCTAGCCGACTTCATCTCATTTATGATAAGAGAGACAGACATAAAAATACAGATGACACGTTTACCTCGAACTCCACATAGCGGTGGCTTGTTGAGTCGATGGAACATACGCCAATTTACTAGTCACCGGCTAGCTGGCTTGCCGGCTTGACGAACAACCTCGTGGTTACAGCTAGGTGGTATAGGATCACTCTGTTCCGGCCAGTGGTTCAGCGGTATGGTTCGCGGGCGTGACGGGTTTTCGTCTGGCAAGCGTTTCCCCTACAAAGCCACACATATCTCTTTAACAACACTGCAACGTGGCGGATGTGACTGGCCAATAAATAAAGTCACTGCTCCTTGCTTCACATTGGTAGAGTAATACATTGCACCAGTCTTGTACTGAAATTATAGGGAAGCTTGCCCCCTGTTCGGTCCCTAACCAAACGAAAGATGTAATAACCAAGAAATAGGTCACCAGCTCAAATGAGCGCGGTTTCCTGATTTAACCCTGCTGTCTTGCGGGCATGCTGTTAGTGTGTAGCTCCCTAAGACAAATCCCTACTTCGGCTTGTGCAACCGGGTTGTATCGTGCCCACTGCAGAAGCCAATGATCACGCCTCTACTTAGTGGCATGCTGTAGTTACTCGCTCCATCGTCTCTCACCAACCCACAACAAATGTCAGCTAATTATCTTCCTATTCCGAGTTACCGTCGATCTAATCCCTACACTGGTTTCAATGATATCCACAAATTCCGGCCTGAGGCAATCCCCGATTCTCGTTTCGGCTAGCAACGTTCAATATTCGAACTCCCATGCAAAATGGGCAACAGACCAGTCTAACACGCACTCTGGACTCACTCGCTATTGACATATGCTGCCTTACCGAAACTAGGTGGTAAGATAAGAGCATTTTGCGCAAATTGATTGCCCCAACGAACCAAGGAGTCATATACCACCTACCTCTTTCTGACGACGTACAAGCGTCTACAGATGATTTAGCGGGCGTTGGTGTGGCGTCAAGCAGCTAAGCAGATTCTGCACTACTGGAATGGTTTCAAGTTAATGGCCGATTGTGTGCAGCTCGACTTCAAGGTTCATGCAGGTTTAACAGGCACCATACTAAAAGGCGCAACCTCTCCGTGGTTTTTGCTTCTGTGCCAAACGATTGTAGCTGTAACCCAATCAGGGACGATTTCTATCACCAACTCCATCAGCTGTTACCTAAAGTGCCAAGTCAGACGTCGCTACCCAAGCAGGAGACTACAACGCCAGTTACTAAGT